TATATATATATATATATAGTTTATAAGGATAGTTCACACAAAAATGCAAATTCTGTCATTATTTATTCACTTCAAAACCTGTGTTCCACAGAAGAAAAAAAAAGTCAAACAGGTTTGGAACATCATTCAGTGAGTAAATAATGACAGAATTTTCATTTTGGGTGATCTATCCCTTTAAAAGATTAATGATTCACTTACAGCTAAAAAATGCACTGCAACTTTAATCTACAGCCAATGATAAGCACATATTCAGGCAATCAGACATGCAAGCCATAGTCCCTTAATGTATGAGTAACTGCAAAGACTGCAAGTTGTCCAAAGCTCAGAGGAGTGTGAGTCCTAGCTGACTGCAGTGTTACTTGTGTGTGTTTCCACTGTGATGCTGATATGTCCGTCATGCATGTCAGCTGATCGCGTCGGTGGGACCAGGGCGAAGAGGAGGACGGGCGGAGTTCTGGACATGTTCGGCGACACGTCAGAAAGCGAGGCATCCACCTTTCACGGCTTTGAGGAGGACGACCTGGACGGGCTTCTGTCCGACGACAGCACAGGCTCACCTCAGTACAGATAGACAAAGGAGAAACCTCAAGGAAACAGCATCAGAGAAACGTTCGGCATGTGTCTGCTGCCTGTTTTTTTTTCCCTGTTGTTTTGCAGCAGCTTGCATAATGGATTCACAACTCCAGACACAATGTTAACTTCAGGAATTGCTTTCAAAGGACAAGTTGCAGCCTTTTATAAATTAAGGAATTTTGTTTTTATTGCTTCACACTTCTGTATACTGAGAGGTGCTAGTTATTGGACAGAGGAGCCATCACTTCTGGACTGTTTGTTTTCCGTAATGGAAAATTGCAGGGACGTTACCAATGTGTGAACATGGATTACACTTCGCCATGTAAGATAAAATGCCTACTGTGTGGAAATTTACTTTAGAAATAGAAATTAAAGAATTTCAATCCTCAAGGAGGAGAAAATACTCAACATGTGTCTGTAGGTCGGATAGTGAAGAGGTTTTTTTCCCCCTACCTCTGGATAAATACAATATTTGCAACGAAAGGGATCACGAGAAGGCAGAGAATGGGCTGAGGCCAGGCCCTGATTGGATCCAGAGGGAAGGGAGGACAGTTTGCAGAGAGGTAAGAGCCAGTTGGCATTTAAATGTCCATCTCTCCTCCTTTCTCAGGACAGCTGCAAGAACAACAACAAAAAAAAGAAAATGAAATTTGAAATCCCATGTTTGCTGGAGCATACATGATACTTGGCCTCTCCCTAGTTTTGTTGAGTAAGAAGAAGAAAAAGGACTCGTATTTTTGGAGTAATTTCCCTTTACTATTCAGGAAACTCTCCTTAAACAACAGGTACAAGAAGCGGTACAACTGTAGCATATGTGCAATGATTCTCATGAAGGCTTTGTTTTGCAAATAAAATCCGGACCATTCACCTCTGTTAACAGATCCAGCTCTGAGGATTTGACTGTGTATGTGTAACTGCAAATAATAATAATACACTGGATTTCAAGCACATAAGCTTCCTACATTCAATAGGAAAATGCAGTAAATGTGAACTTGAAAACAGAATACATGCAATAAAAGGCACAATACACATTAGACACAGGGACATCAGTCACCCAGTTAATATGGGGATATTTCAGTGTATCCTTTTTGTATGAACAAGATGAGCTATATTTGCTCTTTAAAGCTCTTCTATTTATTGTTATGGTGAACTCATGTGTCACTTTTGAATTGAAACTGTTGCGAAAAATGTTCCGTATTAATGCTTTCGATCTTGTCTCTATTTCAGGGCGTTCATTCTTTTGAAAACGATAATATAATTTATTAAGCTATTGTATAATGTATATAGGCCCACAAACTGTTGCAGGCTATTGTTCTACAACAGCTCCTGATGATATTTCTCCCAGGGTTTTGGTGTCTAAACTTTTAAGAAAATGTTTCAATGTTTAACATTGAAGATTTAGTTCATTTAATACTAAGCCAATGGGCAACATGGCTAGAGATGATGCTTGTAACTGCTTCTGTGTCATGCAGACCTGTGGCACAATCCACACAAACACACAGAACACACTTCATGCAACCTGCTATTCATGTGGTCGCTGCTGAGTCCTGTTACTCCAAATGTCAGCCTGCAAGTCTTTCACTGGATTTTGTTACTGAAAAACATTAAACATTTTACATTTTATGAATTACTGTGAGTTAATTTTGTTTCAAGGAAGGAAAACATGGGACAAGTGACCTCAAATAGTATTTGAAAAATGTCTTAATGACACTAAAATGATGCTAAACATCATCTCAGAACAAATCACTTTCATGAGACGTTTTTTTTAACCGGTTCAAGTTCATTATAGTGGATTTATGAAGGCAGCTCCCCTCAAGTTCACTTGGACATTGTTATAACTCTTAATTTTGAGTATTATATTGTTTTATAATTTGAAACCTAGCAAACATATTATTGTGAAATGCCATATTTTCTTTACAATAAATAACACTTGGCTTTCTGTTTTCTTAAATAATGCATTACATAAGACATTCATATATGTTTAAGTATGGCTTGTGTCCAAATAATTTTCGAGGCCATTGTAGTCTATAATTTCAATGCAACTAACAGCACTTTATCAAAATATTACACAAATTATTTGTTATTTGAAGTATTTTAGATAGAATTTTTCATATTTTATATGTATTGCATCAAGATCAACCTCTTAAATCACTCATGTTTCCATACACTTGCAGGAAATAAAATCAAGGCAAAAGATGTATGTCTAAATGTCGGCATAATGTGGCTTAATATATTCAACATAGTTCTGCATGTGAATACCAGGGACAGAGCCATGAAGAGGAATGAGGTAGCAACGCTTATGAAACTCCCAGTAGGGAAAGAGCCTCACATAACATCCGACTTCAAGCCAAGGCCCTACATGCTTTCCAAACTGGGAAGACTGCACATGCTTTACTGGGCATCCAAGCAAGAGGAGCCTGCTGTTCTCACAGTTTCATTGAGGAAATGAGCAGGCCGAGGAACTGACACCTCCCTACGAGACAGAAAGACAGAGAGAGAGAAAGACAGACATGTGAGGTTACAGAACCATCTGGCACTTTCCAAACCTGTGCTCACCCTCTCTCTGTGTGTGGAGGGCAGAACAGAAGGTGTTTAGGGGGAACGGTTGTTTGTTCCTTCCACACAAATCGTGTTTAATCTGTTTTTGTTTTCTTTCATGTTTCTGTCATTATTAACTCAAAGGGATAGTTCTTCCGAAATGAAAAATCTGTCATCATTTACTCACCCTCAAGTTGTTCCAAATTTGTATGAGTTTCCTTCTTCTGCCGAGTACAAAACAAGATATTTTGAAGGATGTTGGAAATCAAACAGTTGACGGTAGCCATTGACTTTCATAGTATGGTAAATTAAAAATTTTAATTTATGTGTGAACTATCCCTATAATGTTATCTGTCTGCCTCTATCTATCTATCTATCTATCTATCTATCTATCTATCTATCCATCCATCCATCCATCCATCCATCCATCCATCATTTGTCTATCCCTCCATCCATCCACCTATCCATCCATCTGCATATCAATCCACCTTACGACATTTTATATGGATTTATGTTTTTCTCAATTAAATTGCTTACAGTGAAGAACATCTGAAACTAATCTAATTGTCAGAGTTTAGCTCCTCTTCTTTCTGTCAGATTATTCTTTCATCTTTCTCTTTCACCAGGCCATCCTTCATGTCTGCAGTTCACAGACAACATGATGCAGGCTGTTGGAACGTACCAGTGGCAGTGCATTGAGTGTAAATCCTGCAGTCTGTGTGGCACCTCAGAGAACGATGTGAGTCTTTAAATCCTAACAAGGGGATATCTAAAATAGTGTGTGAGCATAAAGAAATCGTTTTTAGATTATTTCCAACACCTCAAACTAGATTCTCAAAGCACTCTTTACTTGTTTGACATGGACACACAATGTTGCTAGTATGCATGTTTCTGCAAGCCTCCTCATATGGCTGAGTGTGTGTGAGCTAACAGCTTGGTGATGCCGTCTCATTCTGTAGGATCAGCTTCTGTTCTGTGATGACTGTGATCGGGGATACCACATGTACTGCCTTAAGCCTCCCATGACACAGCCACCCGAGGGTAAGATCACTTCACAGCAGCTCATTACAAAATAGATATTAAAAATCATTAATACATTCATTGTTTCAGTTCTAAAATCTGCCTGACTGGTGTGGCTTGTTGCCTGGCATATAATAACATGTGAATATATTAACATGCATTAATAATAAACCATGTTTTAACATTTCAGTACTGCAAAAACAATAAAATAATCATTATTGATGCTTAGAGTCATACATTTCATTTTACTTAATACATATTAATGTGAAAGCTGAACCTTAGTTTCTTAACTTTTAGGTTTGGTTGAAGTTATAGGAACTTAATATTTAACATAAAAAGTCTATATTAATTTGTTAAATGGAGATAAATGTTTTTGTTCATAAAAATTTGTCAAAAAGTAGATTTTAAAAAAAGTAATTGATGGCCCCCCTGAAATTCTACTGACCTGCTACTGAAGACCACTGTACTACATAGTTACAAAATAAAATATGTATGACACTGATTTACAGTACACAGCATGGACAAATGTGACCCTGGACCACAAAACCAGTCTTAAGTCGCTGGGGGATATTTGTAGCAATAGCCAAAAATACATTGTATGGGTCAAAATTATTGATTTGTTTTATGCCAAAAATCATTAGGATATTAAGTAAAGATCATGTTCCATGAAGATATTTTGTAAATTTCCTACTGTAAATATATTAAAACATAATTTTTGATTAGTAGTATGCATTGCTAAGGACTTCATTTGGATAACTTTAAAGGCGATTTTCTCAATATTTAGATTTTTTTTGCACCCTCAGATTCCAGATATTCAAATAGTTATATCTCAGCCAAATATTGTCCTATCCTAACAAATCATACATCAATGGAAAGCTTATTTATTCAGCTTTCAGTTGATGTATAAATCTCAATTTCGAAAAATTGACCCTTATGACTGGTTTTGTGGTCCAGGGTCACAAATGTATAGATAAACAAATAGTCACACAATAAACAAATACACATGCTATACAAAGTGAATCCGCTTCATTAGAGTTACCTTAGAATTGTTTCGTCCACAGGAAGTTGGAGTTGTCATCTGTGTCTTGATCTGCTGAAGGACAAGGCATCTGGTTTCGGCGAGCCCTAGGCATTGAGGAAGTTCTACACCGTTACACACAGACGCGCACAGCAGACTCAGGATGAATGTTTGTCTTGGTTTTACTCTGTAGTTGTTCTCCTGTAGTAGTGTGAAGTTGAGTCATCCTCTACCTCCATGTTACAAACATTTTCCTCAACCAAGTCAATCGGTAGTCTACCTCGCATCCTGCTCACTAGCAAATCCTAAGGCATGTTTGAGTCCAGATTGTCCAATTACCTAGAAACATGAGTCTTATTATATAAAAAAGTACTTGGTTAAATAGCAACACCAGCACAATAACTATAATATTACAATTAAATGAAGTGATAATCAACCTCTTATACACACAGAAGCTCCTGAGCTGTGATTCTAAGCTATTATTTCTTTGAAATCACGATTGACAAAACCAGTTTGAACAAATAGCAAATCAATATAATAACAAGTTATCTGCTGTTTCTACTGTGAGTCTTTAATAAAAGCAACATAGACTTACTCAGAGACACACCAGTAGTATAAAGCAAAACCATTTTCATTTTAGTTTATGTTTTCAATGTGTCTATGATGTTTGTAAGCCCACATGATTTCTTGCAAGACATTTTTGGCTCATAACCTGTTTGATGTAAAGAGGATAAATTTGATTAGAAGCTCATCTTTCTTACTGGGATCATCATTCAGGTAGACATTTAGAGCGTAGTATCTGAGAGTTATTGTGAAAGTAATCTTTAAACTAAATGGCAAAAAATACCTTTTCCATGTATTGAAGCAGCACTTCGCTTTGACGTCAGGACTGGAAAATAATGCTGTTGAGTGTTTTTTATTTGTTCTTTTATAGCCTATATATATAATTTAGCAGACAATCGTGTGGTTGGTAAATTACATGATAGCCATCATATTCAAATATTCACCTATGCTTTTCCTTGTGCTACGATAATACTAGCATGCATTGTTTTGCCTTTTCAAGCCTGCTTTTTCAAGACTGTTGAATCTTTCGTTACATTTTGTCGGACATATTGTATCTATGCTCCAGGAACATAATAGTTTTGTGTGTCCGCCTGTTTAGAGCCCTTCATACCTCTCGGAGTGAAACATCTGTTCACTCCATTTTGCATTTCTTTGCTCGTGATAGGCTATATTAGCATTTCTATTTTCCATCTGGACATTCTCTCATGTCATTCCCACCTCCTTCACCTGTATAATAC